TCACACATTTTACCTTTATTTAAAAAATTGCATCTTATACTATTTGGATATTGGACCATATTGTGATTTTGATAATATTTTGATTAATAAAGCTTCAGTTTATAACAGTTTTTCTATCAAATTAAGCAAACAAGCCAGGTTCTAATGAAGGTGATATTAGTAAGAAAGGATGTTGAAACATCATCTCCTCTAAGGTTTGTGCAGAAGAAAAGGCTAAAATTGATTTGGTTTTGATATTGATTTATCTGTGATTCAAATAGCAACCCCCACACTGAGCTGAACCAACTCATTATTCCGTTTTTTCAGTGTTGAATGCTAAATGAAGCGGTTTCTCGGTGCCATTGCTGGTCTGCAGACTTCTTTCCTTAAGTGAGAGGGCCATCTAGTGGCGATTTGGTGTGAATGCAAACAGACTGAATAACAGAACCAACTGATTGCAATCTGAAAAATCGCATTCAGTCCTAAATCCAGTGGGCACAAAACGAGATTACATCGGATTATCTGAGGTCTAACAGGTCTAAAGGCACACAATACATTCCCTCATGTCCAGCATCGTGAATGGTGAAATACACTACATCACTAATGAGTCACATCAAACACATTACACCCAGCTGGAATATCTTTATGCTTGGCAAAATAAAATACTGTTAACATAATAAACATATCATTATCAGCATCACCAAAATAAAGTTGGCACAATTTGTTTTCATGTGTCTCTAAATTTCAACAATCACTCATGTTTCTTTATGTTTTATCTTTAACTGACAAAATCTCGTTGATGGTTTTCCTGCTTCCTGGTTTTTATTCAGAAACTAATTGTAGATTCACAATAAAAACGCAACAGCTGTGGGCTTTACTTTGGTGGGACACTGATGGTGATGTGACCACGAAGTAACGAATACTAACACTGTAACACTGAGGGCTCAACAGCTGTAACTCATATGAACAGAAAGCACTGAGCCCTAAATAACTAATGTGTAAATAAATAAAAGTAAATGTGGAGATATTAGAATTTGTGCTACAGGATTCAGCAGCAGTTCATTATAAAGTGTCCGTTATTACAGATATCACTGTTTTATTATGACGAAGTGTATTCACAAGTTATAGTCTGTAGTCCTCAAGTCGGACTCATTCCGCAGCTTCGTGTCGATTAATTCAAGTTAGTTTAGTTTCTTGGTACCTAAACAAAACTTACAATATTGTTTAATCTGAACATTGAGCTTTAAGAAGTACTTTATTGGTTGAACCGGACCTTGTTAATGATGTTTTTCCGTGGTGCAATAATATTAATTAAAAATGATTTGCCAGTGCAACGTCTGGTTGGTTTGTATTTGTCTTATTTACTTTAGACTATTTTACCGACATTTTCCATGCAGTTGAAACAGTGCAGAGTAACTCCAATGTAACTTTTATAGCATCGGATCTTTACTTTGAAAGATGACCGAACTCGTTAAGCTCATGGGAAATAGTATTGGGATTTAATTAATAGCGTGCAAATCCGCCAAATATTCAGGTAAAATCTCATCGCCTTTTCTACATTTTTAAATTATTCATTTTTTTTATACTGTCGTTTTCGCTTCTCAGATTTCTCGCACCAACAACCAATCTAAATTTCCGTTTCTACATGTTAAACAACTCCGAGTTTAGTCGAAAAACAGCCGAGAATATCAACACACATTGGTTACAACCTGCTGTGTAAAATCCTCTGTGGGGGTGTATGCTACAGGTACTAGTGAGTCTATCAGTTTGGAATAAGTCTGAAGGACATACAGGAGTCTCAAACATATCAAATAAATTAGTTTCCACATGCAGAAGCTGAGGGAATGATAGTTGTAACCTGTCTACATTTTACATGAACAAAGTGCACATTTGCTTTGAGCCTATATTCGGTGTTAATTATATGAAATGGTATTAAACTTTAAACCCGTTGACATCTGCTGACTCAAAACCCTGTTGAGATTTCAACACTGCAGATTCAAGGCAACATTTCTCAGCACAGAGAACTTGAACGAGGGAAGCAGCAAGTTTATTACCAAGGACAATTGACGGCAGATAGCTTCCTTCAAATGGCCCTGGAAAACAACCAGACTGAAACTCCTCAATTTGGCTCCTGGCACCCTAAACATGAAGGACGAAGAGCTGTAAATGACACTAAAACTGAACACTAAAACTTCTCCTAATTTTGTAATTGTGGGAGCCCGTCTACCTTCTTTACCTGTAGACGTGACTTTACGCAGCAAAGCTTTAACGCCGCATGTCCCAAATATACAAACTTCTGTATTTTGATTTAATTTTTTTTAAAGAATAAGGGATCTGTTTGCGTTTGTAATTGAATGGCCACTTGGCCTATAGGAGCTCTGCACAGTTTGTGATTAAACGCCACATTTTAAGACAAAATTGTAGCACCCAAAACAGATTAAAATGACTCAGTTCACAATACGTTTTAATTTCCTTCCTTTTAGTTTGAATCAGGTTTTTTAACGTGATACATATGTTTTTATTCACTGCTTAGGCCTACTACTCCTCACGTTTAGTTTGTTTTTGCTTTAAATGAATGTATACACATGGGACACGGTTTTATATGTCGGTAGTTAGGCCTGAATATTGAGAACACATAATATAAACTGAATTTACAAATAAACCCTGCGTAGCAGATCCAAATCTAATTAAAAAAGCTTATAAAACTGCTTTAATTTGCTTTCATTCACAATTTTGTAACGCGGGTATAATATTGTTGTTTTTTCACAGTTGTATACATACTTAGGTTAATATCTGTCACTTCAAATATTTGAGATTTAAACACTTGTTTGCCGATTTTATTTAATCATCTAATTTTCTACATTATAAGTTTTCTCCTTTTTCGTCTCTAAAATAGGCTACGTGTCGCTGACACACATTTTGCCAGATGTTTATGTTCGTTTTCTTTATTTAAACACACTCAGATTGTATTTGCAACAAATGAAAGTCATTTCCATAATTGTTTTACCCTTGACGTTTGGTTTTTATGTACTCAGTCTATCTGCATACCTCCAGCAGTGACTGAAACTGCTGCTGATGTTTAATTGCAGAATGAAGCCCCTGACAAACAATGACAAGAGCACAGCACAGCAGGATGAAGGCCATATATGAACTTATACCGCCACCTATTGGAGAACAGCCGCAACTACTCACATGATAAAATTGCCTAATAATAAAGTGATTTTGAAACAAATTGACCGGTTTAAACCTGTCTAATTTCAACCCCAGTGTAACCTCGTTATAGGGTATATGCACATAAATAAAATAACCCTGATTGACCATAGAGGAAATGTAGTCCTGATAAACCCCACCTGCAGATTTCTGTTATTTTACTTTATTGTCTCTGAAATGATCCGGGATGTAAACCTGATCAAAACAATCATCCCCAAATACATCCCGCTCTAACCCACTGAACAACCAACTGCTCCAAGTCGTCAGTGTCAGTGTATTTTTGAACTCCCCACCCCCAACACACACACACACACACACACACACACACACACATATTAGACTTAATCCAGTCTGTGATAAATTTCAGGGGTACATTGTACGGCAGAAAAAACTCCAATAATGCCACAAAAATAGCCAAATATAGGTTTCATAATAGTCTAATTAAGTTTCTCCTGAGTACAGGTGTAGTATTAAATAATGGCAATATTACAGGAGCATTATGATCCACAGTTTACCTGATACATATTGTTCAGTCAACATAGGAGGAGTGTATGTTTCTATAGGACAGCACAGTAAACTAAATACTGCTGGTAAAATGCACTTGGACTTGGATTACTACATTCACGCAGTATTTGATATTTAGCATTCAAATTAGACTGGGTTTTTAAATGTATATTGTAGTGTAATCAATTTTGCGGTTTATTTTAAGGTGCTAACATCTGACTGTGGAGATTCACAGTAGTAATTGTACAGGGGCTGCATTATACAAGGTTTAATACAGATATGACGGTTGTAATGGCGCTTTTCTTCACTCCGGAAAATAGTCAAATTCGTTTTTTTCTTTTATAGATATCATCTACCTAAAGAGATCTATAGGTTAAGTTTAAAAGGCCTTACAAATATAAGAAAATTAGGTCTATAGAAACCTGCAGGTGGTAATCAGGCGGTTTTCAAACATATTAAAGGTTGATAATAGTTTAAAGCGGCTTGTGAAGTTAATTTAAGGAGAATAGAAGAGGGAGATAAAACAGTGTCAAACTGGGCGAGGATGTGTCCTGCGAATCTTCGAAATGCGGATATATTTCATTATATGTTTCTCATGTTGTTTTCGGTCCTTATAGCTTCGAGGCCGACGCGAATAAAGGCTGCATTGTTTACAAGGGAGTGACAAGAAAAGCAGCACCTCCAGGGCCACAAGAGAGGAAGATATATATATCTAATGTAGCCTAATGTAACCTGATACAGTGAATGTCATCTTTGTGAGGCTTATAATGTTGCATTGTTGTGGAGAATGCATGTGGGGAAAGGGGATTTTTGTTTATTGTTGTCATGCCTATCTATCTATCTATCTAGACAGTTTATTTTGAAAGAAATTATTCTATATAATTATCTATGAATTCGTCTGTGTACTGTGTGGTGCATTTAGGGCCTTGCTTTTACCCTTGTACTATATGGGTCAGTCCACAGAGTCACCTTGTTATTCTTCATGTCCCAGCACAATGATACCCAGAGTGTAAAGCGCATGTGCTTTCAGATAATATCTCCTGACGCTGAAACTGACACAAGCCAAAATATTCTTAACATATTTCTGACTGAACAGATGGTAAAATTTGAACTTAATCCCCCCCACCCACTCAATACCAAAATATATCCTCGTGGAGTATTTTGCTTTGCAGTATTGAGAGCAAGGGTGGGGCGGAACAACATATTTTGCATATCACGTGACGCCGTATTACCAAATCAACAATTACCTACCCTTTATTCTTCAGGAGTTGCTAAAAGGCTTGCAAGAAGCGTTCGAGGAAAGCTCCATGGAAATGTGTGAGCGGAATCCTTTAAATCCCGGCTATGTTGGTTCCCTGTTGAATTTTGCGCCCGCTGAGTCGCTCTATTTCTCCAACTTGCGGGGTAATGGAGCCCACATACCCGGGCTGCATCAGCTCCCCTACAACAGGAGAGAGGTGTGCACGCTCCCGTGGACTTCCTCAAGTTCGTGCACGTCTGGACCAGCAGCACCACCACAGAGCCGCGCCTTCGGAGGCTACTGTCCGCCGTTTCTGTCCAACTCGGTGTCTATAAATTCCAACTCCTCCAGCGGCCACGTCAAGGCGCATTTGGAGGAGTCTGCTCGATGCTTTCAGAGCGCAAACCGCAAGTCGGAGGAGTCTGGCAGACAAGATGAAGTTTACGCCGGGGAGCACGGGCCCGCCAGTGAGCGCGGTTACTCAGATCTGGACAGCCGGTCCCACGGTTCTGCGGCCCAGCTCGATCCGGACTCATCAGGTCCGCTGCATGTGGCGGGCACCAAACAGGAGCAGAACCCCGTTCACCCATCATCAAGTCACACATGCTCCAGGACGACTTTTGCAGAAGGTTAAGTAGCCTGTTTTATGGAACTACTTCATTGTGACACCTAATAGTATTTCCCTCGTTTTATTTCGTTTACAAATCTATTAAGTTAACACAATAATCTAGTATGAGTAGATCTGTGCCTCTCGTTATTATGACCCCCCTTTTAATGCCGATTCTCTTTTATCACATCATTATAAAAGGCTATTTAATTTCCACTGGTCAGTATTGTTATATTGGAGTTATATGGAGACCTTATAGTTTGTGTGTGACATATACATATAAGGGTATGACTGTCTGTGATTATTTTATGGTCAGTTTATCTCCCGAGGCGTCATTATTATTGTGATATTCCCATAATATGCGTATAGAGGTTGTGTCTGTTGTTCATGGTAATATCAGCCCTATTTTCTTATATATGCACAGTAGGCGCGAGTTCTCACATTTACTATGTTATTAAACCACTTGTATTTTTTCCACCAAGGTATTAGCGACTCTGTAAGCACTGCCACTGGGAATAGTTAATTCCCTTCGGTGTGTATGACTGTGGCTGGTGTTAATTTAAAGTATAAAACTTGTTTCTACCTCTGCTCCATCCAGGTGCCCCATGGTGCTCGTCACAAGTGAAAACCAGAAAGAAGAGAAAGCCTTACTCGAAGCCACAGCTGGCTGAACTTGAGAATGAATTTATGATGAATGAATTCATCAACAGACAGAAACGAAAGGAGCTGTCAGACAGACTGGACCTGAGCGACCAACAAGTGAAAATATGGTTTCAGAACCGGAGGATGAAGAAGAAACGACTGATGATGCGCGAACACGCTTTCTCCGCTTACTGATGACCTTTGTACTTGATCGTGACCAGCAGTGCACAGAAAATATGCGCCGTTGTACTATGAATGTTGCAGCACATCACATACCCATTCGGTTTGTGGCATGGACTTGTAGCTATTTATAAATATGTATAAAATGTTTATATTCATGTCACATAATGGGCTACATTTTTATCCAGTCCCAACATCTTCAGTGGTATTAGTAATAAAGCAGATTAAGATTTCTGATTTTGAGATTTTCTGAATGCGCACTAGGCCCTGGCTCCTGGTTGGCCTGCAGCCGCGCATAATAATACACATTTAAGGCTAATTGTTTACCATCCAGCTCAGACTTCAGACCTATTTAAACAGGAATATGGTTCTATGTGTGTTTTGTGTATTTTGTATGATTGCCTGCGCATGCAGTGTAGGCCAAATGTGGAAGCAAGCAGTCAAGTTCATGTTTACGGACGGATAAAACCTTATTGCTAAATATATTATAAATGCATGTCTGTTTCCTAATTGCTGTTATACAATTAAATGTTTGAGTTTCCCCCAAAATTGACTGTACATTTGATCAAACAAGAAAAGTGACATTGCTTTTGTTTGTAAGTGGCCGCGTCCACATTCAAAGTCGGTGTGTGGAGGAAAATATTTGCGCCGCATTTAGTGCTAGAAGGTGTTCAAATGAATGCAGAACAAATGAGTTTGTGGATGTGAAACATTGTGATGGTGTTAGTTCAAACTACATTTTAACTGTATGAAATGAGTCTGGATTTGTACCTGGTTTCGTGTTGCTATACCAACGTGGATATACTACACAGTCACAGATCAGATGCATCGGAATCAATCTGGCTCTGTAGGCCCAGTCTTTATATTAATTCATGAAAAATTAAATAACATTTCACTTTACATTCATGAATCATTCCAGAGAGCATGTTACTTTCAAAAAATACGAAGGCGCATTAGACCAGCCATCCTTTTACGCACGGACGAGAGATTTTGTAAAATGGACGCACACTGCAGATTAATACATTTGTAAATAAAGATCATTTTTAAATTACCTGTACACAAGTTACTGTGCATCATGTGAATCATTTTATATTTTTAGACAGTTATATTTAATGGCACGTTTCACCAAAGGCTTCAAGTGTGTATACTGTGGTTGTATTCAAGATCAGTAAGCCGCTCACTAGTTGATCATTGTCTGTTTGAATATGTACAATGTCTCAGTAGTCTGCGCTCTAAAACCAGATTTTTAGTAATGATTTAAAAATAGATGTGGAGAGGATTCACTGAAGAGATTTTGATGTTTTTGGCTGCCTGCAGCGGTGGAAATACCAGTGTATGCGAGTAATCGTGTGTGAAAGGAAAGTATTTGTTGACTTTATACACACTTTAATAACTTCCTAACCATCCTCCATCACTTTAAAATAAAAACGCCCTGTAGTTCGCGCTCATACGTGTGGTAAATATCTGTCTTTATCATGTAGCTTCAAAAAGTGAGATTTCAAATATTTCCACAGCCAGCATAACAGAGTCAGCGACTGCTTTATTATGTCATAACCACCTCGACTTTTAGTTGTAAATTCAGTGGCAAATACTTAAAAAATATTACTCTGACTGGAATTTAATCATCACATTTTTTAAACTTATATTTGTCTATTTGCTCCGGTGTTAGTCACTTGTTCTAATGTGTCCACTAGGCCCACTTAGCGTTTCCACGCAGACGTGTAATTCCTGCTCACAGTAAATATACACCACAGCAGCAGCAGCAGCAGCAGCTCACACCGACACACAAATCCTCCACATGTGAGTAGGAGGATACTGTGGCCAAATGGATCTGGTGCAGTTCAGAAGTCATGTGCGCATCCTTTAATTTCTCAGTCGTATTTTATCCACTTTTATACGCCCAAAGCAGGTTCCTCTGTGCGTAAAAGCAGCTCGTATGTTGATCTGCTATCCACACATCTAACGGGGTTATTGTTTATATATTTACAAAAACACTTTGTTGTTGTTTCCACACTTGGTTGAGAACTCACAAAGTTTGCAGGTCACAAGTAGTCAGTCTGGTTCTAAATGCAGAGGCTCAAGCTGAAACTATTGAAGAGTTACCAACAGATCAGTACACATGAAACATTACAGGAGAGTGGATCTATTAATGGGCCCTCCCATTACATCATCACCACGTCATTACCACTGCATCACTATGTTTCTCTGCAGAACATAACGCTGCAGTAAAGGTTCATGAAAGAGTAACATTTCAAACCTAGTAATTTGTAATGAAACGTGGAGAGATGGTTCTCCCATCAGTGGCTGTTACAGATCTCTATTGTCCACTTTTGTGCTTTTATTTTGTGGATCTGTTGGGGATAAATGTCATTTACATTGGTGCAATCTTGCTATATTTTCAGTATGTTATTTTGTTCCCAATCTACTCTCAGTGTGCTGCGGGCCTGTTGTTTTTCAGCTTAGAATCCTGCCCACACAACATGTTTCACCTATTAGGTTTTATTGCTCAGACTATTTTGAACGGCTACACTGAGTTTTCTGTGTGTCCGATACGCAATGTTCTCCCTCAGTATTTGTTGCTTTATTGCTTTACTGCCAAACGCAGCCAGACAACGTCATATAGCTCAGGATACTTAAGATAGTGGGGGCGCCAAAACAAAGTTAAGGTCAAGTTAGTAGGCTGTGCTACTTCCTTCCAACATTGGCACAAAGCTACTTATTTAGATACAGAAATTAGAATAACTAAATGTCTATTTCTCAAACCAATATGAACAATTATAATAGCTTCTCAAATATATTTGGTAAATTGGTTAATATTACGGACAACAAAAACTGGATTCAAGTTTGGTCCCCTAAAACTTGTCTCCTGCAGTGTGACTTAAAATGTGAAAGTAAAAATGTTTTATACTGAGCGCATATATGAGTAGGTGACATCATTTTATTGGTATTTTATTTCCATTTTATTCATGTCTTAAGGTAAATGCCTGATTTTAATTTAATGCAGCCCTGAAATGTTTCTGTTCCTCGTTCAACCCTTTAAGGCACTTTTTTACTTTTATTTTGACAAGTACTGTATAAATAAAGTTTATTATTATTACCAAATATTTAAGTGCAAACTTGCAAAACGCATCGAGGAATAATAATTATAATAATAATAATAACAGTCACAGACGTATTAATGATAATAAAGACCACAAAGAAACAGTCACAAGTGGTAAGCAACAGGTCGCCTTAAGTCTGTCTATTGAACTCTTTTACGAGCATTACATTCTTTAACATTTCACTGTAACTGTTGGTGGTGAGTTCATATGTTTTTTTGCACTCTTCAGGCGGTGCGTCGGTTGGATTAGTTTGGTAAGAAATGTCTAATTTCTGCCCTAATTTCTCTAAATAAATGCGCATTTTAGTTTTCATTTGTAAACCGTCTCAGGGGTTTCAGCGTGAAGTGTGTTAAAGGTTGAAAACCGAGAATCCGACCACAAAGCTGATTTTACCCCCCAATAACAATAAACCCAGTCGCCTTTAAGCTACTTCCACATTGCGTGTGACCTTCAGGCTTAAAGCAGTGAGAAATCTACTTGCCCTCTGACTACAATACTGGCCTTCAAGTCAGAGCTGCGTTTCTACTTTCATGATCATTCTGTGTTCAGTGTCCAAGTATCAGGCCTGCGCGCATTAAAACAACAACCATGAAGTGCTTTGATTTACTTTAAATAACCTCCTTCAATTTTCTACTTTCTTACGAATAATAAGCATAACAAAAAAATAATACTCACAGAAAGCAAACAAAAATATTGATCGAGGCTTGAAGACATGTGGTATCCGTAAAGTCCATTTTCCCCACCGAGAAGAGGGCCCAAACACTGCAGGCATGGCTGCCTTCGTGCCATAAAATGGGTTTGGGTGCAGAGGCTTGTTGGTGAGTGCTTGGTGAACATCACCTAGACCACAGACGGTCAAAGCCAGTTGTTCTGGACTTGGCCATGCTGAATGTGCTTGGTGATTCATGCTTGCAATGGACTTAGCTTATGTTTTTGTGGTATCCAAAATCAACGTTTTCTGCATTTACAACAGCGGACCGTGGGCTGTTTTATTTGGCTGTTTCTACCCCGCGTTCATCTGCATTTATTATTAAGGGTGTAACAAATGAAAAACCAAGCAAGCAATTTATGTTCTGACATACTAATACAAACCGATTTTAACGCCGAGGCACACATGGGCTAGTTTGCATGCTTTGCAGCAGAATTTCTGTCTGAATTTGTGATAGTTTTGTTATTTCTTTTGTGGCTCCTGAGCTCTTTCTGTGCACCACACTGCAGGACGAGATGATTGTGTCTGATAATGAATTCAAATATTTTGGTGCTGCGTTTGTTTGTGTGTATTTAAACGTGTCCCCCATCCACCCACCCAACCAACCACAATGGGTGCACAGTGATTATATGCAATGAACCCTAAAATTTTGTTCCATAAAAAGACACTTAATGAGTCGCTTGTGGATCACATATAATGCTGCACTTTCTGGTTTAACTGTGCAGTTGAAATCCAGACACGGTGGCCTTTGTGCCATTCTCCTCAAGCTTTGCATTGAATGCGGAGGTCAACTTCAATGTTCCCAACCTAACTGTTGCTACAAAAGCGACGCCCGCTCCAAATTGCGCAAATTTATTGACAAATGAGCGTGTGCGCTTCTCATTACTTGTCATTACACGACAAAAGAGGATGTTGCTGTAAAGCTTTCAATTAAATATTCCAGCGGTGGTTCACAAATTTCTCTTTCCGTGAGCTATAGGGCAAGAAGGCTGGAGAGGAGTTTCCTCTGCAGCCAGGCAGCCAATGGAGTCTCTTGCATGCGCTCACATGAGTTTCTCCGGACAGTTTTTAATGACTGATATTGATGTATGGTAATTTCTTGGCTGGATCACATGACACAATTACCTCAAGAATCGATCAAGATGTATTGCAGGTCTGCCTACGTTTCCGATTTTTTCTCCCTGGCGGGGTCTTTCCACACGCCTGTGGTGCTATAGATGGACAAAGTTTAACACAGTCAAGCTGCCAATTACTTTCCTCTGTCTGCAAAGAGGAAAAAGGAAGAAGAGATATGACGGAATACGATGATCGCAGCTGTGCGTCAAATATGTATTTACCGAGCTGCACTTATTACGTTTCGACGCCCGATTTTACATCAGTCTCCTCCTTTTTACCGCAGACTACTTCGTGTCAGATTAATTTCCCCTATTCTCCCAACATAGCCCAAGTCCAACCTGTTCGAGAAGTCGCTTTCAGGGATTATGGACTGGACCATCCCAGCAAATGGCACTACAGGGGCAATTACGCGTCTTACTACTCAACGGACGAGATAATGCACCGGGACTTGATCCAGTCCTCCAGCAGCAGGGCGGATGTGATATTCAAAAATGAGTCCTTGTACGGCCACCACGGGGGGACGAGCTCGCCGTGCAATTTCTTCACCGGCGTCGGCCGAAATGGGGTTCTCCCCCAGGGCTTCGACCAGTTTCTGGACACTCCTAACTCGGACAAGCCCAACGCGGAGCTCCCCAAACAAAAGACAGACTCTGCTGCTCCCGGAGATGATGCGGACAACAATCAGGCTTTAACCAAACTGGAGCAGCACAAAGCTGACCCGAGCGGGAGCGTCGACGAGGACTCATCCTCCAACTGCGGCGACAAGAACAACCAACAGAGTAAGTCACTATTTTCCTCTCGGTCTTGGATATAAGGTGTGCGATTTAGACAATGGAGTGTCTTGGACTGCACTATGTCCACCGCCGTGGCCGTCCAGGGTTATGTGCCTCTTTATAAGCATGCAAAAGCTTTTATATCCCAATAAGATTTACTTTACGGTTGTAAAGGTATTTACAATGGGAAGCGGTTAAGTAACCATACTTTAAAGGTTGCCTTGTGTCTAATAATAATACGGTGTCGCTGGAATTGATTTGTGTTGATATGGAATGTAAGAAAGTTAGAAATCGTTTTATTAAAAGTTTATTTTATCAGCTTATAGGCAATGTTGTGCAGGTATAGCAACATTTTTAGGGAATTATGGGATATAATGCGCTCCATACACCAATATATGCTTAAAAATCACAAGTTTACTTTAATGCAAATTCCTCTGTTGTTGTATCTGTGTGTGTGTGTGAAAGAGAGAGGGCCTTTGTGCATAAGTAAATAAATATATTTCTCAACCTGTTAACTTTACTGTGCTCCACATTTTATGACCTGATGTTGGAATTTTTAGGAAACATTTTTCACATTTTTTTCTTTTTCATGCGCAGGTTCATCAACCAAGTCCAGGAAGAAGAGGTGTCCTTACACCAAATACCAGATCCGAGAACTTGAACGAGAGTTTTTCTTCAACGTGTACATTAACAAAGAGAAGCGGCTTCAGCTGTCCAGGATGTTAAACCTGTCTGATCGGCAGGGTGAAGATTTGGTTTCAGAATAGAAGAATGAAAGAGAAAAAGCTGAACCGCGACCGTCTACAGTATTTCACTGGGAATCCTTTATTCTGATACCTGACATAGTGGTGTACACACACACACACACACACACCATAGTAAAATAGGAGCTATACACACACACGTTTTAAAGACTGTTCCCTCTGCATATTTGAACCCTGATCGTCCAGTTTAAACAGTTTATTTTACAAATATCCAGCATTTGGAAACCCAAGATACCATATTTTTGCAAAAAAAAATCTGCATTTATTTATTTGTGTTCACATATTTTCGCTTTATTGGCAACCAATATTTCAGCAAAGCGCGACCTGTACTTTGTAATTATTTATATAAAAATATATGTAGGCTTCTTCCTTGTGTAATACCCATTTATAAGACGCATGTATAATGCACGTTGTGGTGTGAAATAAAGTAGACACGACAAATGTTATATCATAGTCACGAAACTTGTCACATGAACTTAACCAAGTCCTACAAAAATAACACAAGAAAAGGGAGAATCTTTCTTAGGATTCATCAATGGAGAAATTTGGCGCTTTCAGGCCTGTATAGTCCCTTTATTTCCTTTGCTTTCAAACACTGGGTTGTTTACTAAACCTTGAACCGTCTAGACAGTATAATAAACGTAGCTGTAAATGTCTAAATAGGGGGCTATTGGACTTTGGTGTCCCAACCCCCAGACCACAAGAGGACTGATTCTTTTTCCTGCCTCAAAGTAGTTTCACTCCAGGCTACAAATGTTTAGAGAATTCAAGAGATTGGGCATCCCGTCCAGCTCCTTTTGACATCCTAATGTTACCAGTGTTAGCTGCAATAGAGGATATTCTATAACAAGGACCGCCTTATGGACAAATAGGTAATTTTTTTTTCAAGTTTATCTGCTTTTCCAATGTTCTAGATAAGCTAAATGTGGCTTTGACGCCTCTCAATCTGCTGCAAATAAGAGAGATTTCCAATTGTTGGCGCAAAAAAAAGCTCGTTTCCATCTTTGAATTAATGCAGGTGAAAGGTTTTGTGCAGTTCCACTTTACAGTAACTCTACAAGTGAACTCATGCCATGCTTTACCTCAGTGGTGTTTTATCTCTGTGCTACTTCTGTAACCAGTAAAAGGACGGAGTAAATAAATGCATTTATTCCACACAAAGAGTCGCTTTATTGATAATCCATGTGATGGCTGTATTATTTTCACTTTACGTCAATACAGCATCAATTATACCCATTGTTTCAGCGTCCTTTATGAAAAAAAGAAAGAAAAAGGTTTGGAGAGGGATTAATGTTCATTTCGTCTGTGATGCATCACATCTACAGTTATTTCCCAAAAAGGCTATTAGAAAACTGAGGTTTCATTAAGCGTTTAATTGGGTTGTCATCATGTCCTACAGTGAAATTACATTACCAACTGTGTAGGGTAGTTCACTTTGCTTCTCGGTGTATCCACATGAGGGCAGACTTGCAGCTTTTGGCCGCCAGTGGAAATGCAGAGTTCAGCCAAAATTAACGTCTACCCTGCATGATAATCATTAAATGGAGGTATAATCCGTTCAACACAGGCTCCATATAGGTTCTTGTTTTAATTACAATGGCATCCTGTAGCACGTTTAGTGTGAATGTAAATTTTTTTTAAAAAATTCTTTATAAAAAATAATTGTCCAAAAACACTTATTTGTATATTAAACCATTCAACACACAGGCTACAGTTTATTTGAAGTAAATAAGAAAACAACGATTCTTAACACACATTATTTCTTTCACTCACTGCTCAGTGTAGCAGATGCAAATCCCGAATCTTCCAGACGGCAATTACATTCACAAGTCATGTTCAAGTGTTCTGAAAGGACGAGTCAAGCTAAAATAAATAATTCCACTCCGTCTCTTTGTCGCCTGAGCCTTTAAAATCTTCACCTGGAGGCCACTGAGACACAAACGTGCTTTACATTTCCTTTCATTTCATTTCACTTTGCAGCTGTATGACTATTAGAATATCTTTTATCTGCGTCTGGCTGCATCTGTTTTAAAAAAAACATATAATAGTGATAGTCAGACAAAACATCACAGAGGTATTAGTTTCAAATACTTTTTAACTTTATCCTTATAGGTTGTATTTTTATATGCTGTACTCTTGTGTTTTAAATATCTGTGGATCTCCTGGTATTTGCTTTAAATTATTATTATTATTTTTACTATTATTATTATTATTATTATTATTACAACATAACCTAAGGTCCAATTAATTTCCCCACTTTTGAGGTACTTGTGTATATTTTGTGCGTGTGAATTGTTGATTACCGGAAGAGTAGCCTATACTCTCATATCAAAGATTTCTTTTCCCAGTTCAGTGCGTCACCGGTTATATAAATAGCTCAGTATTATCTTTGAGCAATTGTCATTATTAGAAAGATGACTTTTGAAACCGAAATGAAGTCCGTGTTGTCAGATGTCTCAGTTAAATGTTTTTTTTTTTCTTCCTTTAAAAATAACCGGATGGTGTAACGAGGAATGTATTTTTTACACATATTCCGTAATCACATTTAGGTTAACGAGCTTGTATTTTGTTGTTTGTGAATCCTGTGATGTTGAGATGTTTTGCATACTACAAATGCTTATTTACAACCAACTGTAAATATCCAAGAGCATTGAAGACAGGGGGAGACGATGTCTACACATCCTCTCAACAAAGTTGTATAATTATTTAAAGCTTGGTGCATAAATACCAAAGATATAATTATTTCAAGCTGCAATTATTGTATTTTGTTCATTTGTTTGTTTATTTGTAAAAGACCTGTAGGATCATTGCAGTTATTGTGGCCTGATTTCTGATTTTCGGTCGATGGATATTTTCAGTTTACAAAGTGCTTTTATTTTTTTACCCCTCAGTTTAAGGCTGTTAATCTTGCACACATTTGCCTTCCTTGCAGACAAAAACAATGGAGCCCTGAACAAAATAGTCCCCAGACTATGTACAACCGCCACGTCCCGCAGGTTTTTATTTTCAACTTTTGCATTTACTTGTGACAAAATGCAAATGCAGATATTGTGCTTAATAATATGTGCAAATAATAAAGGACAATTTTCTATCCGTCTTAAGTGGACTTTATTTTGTAAAGTAAAGCGTTGCAGGGTTATAAGTTTGACCTTCATGCATACAGAGCTCTCGTAGTAGCTTAATTTAAATCTGTGAATGATGGGAAACACAATATACCTTATAGATCTTAAAGACTGCTGATTTTAATGCTCACATTTTGAAGGAACCCCAAATGGCCCCTTATATCGAAGGATTTGATGCTGTTTCATTCCAAATTAACAGGAAATATCCCTATGCAAAAAAAAAATAACACAAACTTCAAACTCTGAATTAATGCACAATCGGCAGAGCAAACAGTATTTCCACAATGAGTCATCTTTATTTTTTATTTTTTTGCATTCTTATTTTAATTCAAGCATATTCGAGACAGTAAAATATGTGCAGCCAGAATCAGTGTGGGCTCTGTCTTTGGTGGTCTGGGGGGGGGGGGGGGG